GGGCTCACGACAGTGGCGTAGGCAGGGGGGGGGGGTTAGGGGGTATATATATAAAGTATGAGGGGGGTGCAAATCGAAAGTTTGAGGGGATGGGTGTGCAAATCGAAAGTTTGAGGGGGTGTGCAAATCAAAAGTCTTAGGGGGGGGGGTGCAAATCGAAAGTTTATCTCCGGGTAAAAATCGGACCCCCTCCCTTGAGACGATCCTGGCTACGCCACTGGCTCCCGACATGTTGACTTCTGACAAATGGGCTCCAAAAATATGGGTTCACGTCAAATGGGCTCCAGACAAATAAATTGTATGACCACAACTATCAACAAAGACGTAACCACTTTGTCAGACTCACCAACCACACACAGTTCCTACCCCCACTACCAACCCACCAACCACACACAGTTCCTACCCCGTCTACCAACCCTTCAACCAGCTACAGATCCTACCCCCACTACCCACAAACCGCACTAAACACAATTCCTAACCCCAACTACAACCCACCAACCACACACAATTCCTACCCCCACTACAAACCACCAACCACACTAAACACAGTTCATACCCCCACTGCCAACAGCTCCTACCCCCACTACCAACCCACCATCCAAACACAGTTCCTGCCCCCACTTATAACCCGCCATCCAATAACAATTCCTACCCCCACTACCAACCCACCATCCAAACACAGTTCCTGCCCCCACTTATAACCCGCCATCCAATAACAATTCCTACCCCCACTACCAACCCACCAACCACACACAGTTCCTACCCCCACTACCAACCCAACAACCACACCAAACATAGCTCCTACCCCCACTACCAACCCACCAACCACACCAAACTCAGTTCCTACATTCACTACCAACCAGTGGGGAGAGGGGTCTACGTTGTACATTTTTCCGCAGTATACTTGTAGGCTATTATAACAAAATGTCGTTATCCTGTAAACGTATATCATCCATTCAAACTTCTGTGCTCGCTTTTAAACTACAGATCTTCGTGGTTGTAAATAAAAGTTATCAAAATTAGAAAATTAGAAAATGTGGCTGCTTATATTTGTTTAATGAATTGCAGTACTAATAATATTTCGCCATATTATAAACATATTGTTTGTTGTTCAAGTGGTGCGCAATTCTTTTTTCTACGAGATTCTATTTTATTGTTAAAAAGCTTAAGTAATTAAAAATGGATTAAAAATCATGTCTATATTCCGAGTTACCATCTCCTGTAGTGTTATATAATAATATTCGAGAAAGTTTAGGGGAGATCAATCCAGGTTTATTTTGTACGTAGTATAATTCTAAAAAAGTTAAGTTGGTCAAAACGCGATATTAGTAATCTAAACATTGTGGTTTAAAAAAAATAAGAATATGGATGCGGTATTTGTGTGGATATCAATGTGGATAACTGTGTGTATACAATGTGGATATTGATTTTGATGTGTATAATCATGTTCTTATTTATTCTGGTGGTGCTGTTAATTGTTATATGAATTGATATGCTTAGTTATTTTGCTTTTTTATGTATTTAGTCTCATGGCGTAAGTCGTATTTACTTTCTGTAAATCCCACCAAGTAACATTTCTGTAACAGGCACCACAAGTGAGCTGGACACCGCCTTCTCCGGAACCTCCACCGACCCCTCGTCTTTAGCCATGGCATTGTGCTTCGCTCTGTGGGCCACCAGAGGAGGGTGGGTCATTGTTGATGTTTTTTTTACAAAATTTCAAACAATTTTTAATCTAAATAAAATAAAATATGAAAAATGTAGAGTAACTTTTTGGATGAAAAAAAATAATTTTAGTACAGCATATACATATTTTATTTAATGAGATGATGTTCAATATTGGGAATAAATATAAATATTAGGAATGTATAAATTCATCTTTCTAAATGCTAGATGTACCTTAGACTTCTTATTGAAAAAATTAGCAACTACTTGACTTTGCAGGGAAGATCTCAACATGGTGGTTGAGTAGGTCAAGAAACCAGCCAGGTAACGGCTTGTCCTACACGTTTCATATGGTCGAGGTTAGTTAAACGTTAGACATCTAATTAAATCAAATTTTAATTAATCAGCAGGATGTGTCGGAAGCTTCTGTTACTTTTATCTCAAGGTCACTGTTTACCAAAACAGAAAAAAAAAGATATTGAGAGCAGAAATCGAATTTCAACTGTTGTTAAAAGTTTTAATGAGTCCACCATTATTGAGTATTTGCGAGGCATCGCTTCCTAATCTGTCTTTTAAAGTTATAATAAAAATAAAATACTTAAAAAAAACTTAAAAAAAAAAACACGTTTTTCTTGTGGACTAAAAAGTAGAAAATAAATTTTTCTTCCGACCCTAGGGGATCTACCAATGACTGCTCGTAGATTTTGTGCTTCCTCGAGCTGTGCAGGTTCTTGTGATGACTGTTCATACATTTGATGACAAAAAACGTGGGTACGTTCACCATCAAATTTCCAAAATTCGTGTGTTGTGTGCTTTTCGCTTTAATCATAAATCTGCCCGACCCACGTTTTGGTAGATCCCCTAGGGTTGGAAGAAAAAATTATTTTCTACTTTTTAGTCCACAAGAAAAACGTGGTTTTTTAAAAAGTTTTTTTTAAGTATTTTATTTTCTCCTTTTTAGTCCGTTGCTACACATGAAAAACGTGGTTTTTAAAAAGTTTTTTATATAGTTTATTTTCTACTTTATCTAATGACTTGATTAAGTATGACTTGACTAAGTGTTTTTAAATACATAAAAATTTAGAGGATTTTTTATCAAAACAAAAAGGATCAAAAGGTTTTTGAATGCTTTTAGGTAGTTGGCCCACCATCCATCCCTCCTCGAACAGATTAACTGTCGATTCTCCACCCACCTTAAGCATTACACTGTAAAACATTAAAAAAAACGTGGTAATAAAAAAAAGAATTGCACACCAAGTGAAAAGTTTCTCTTTCAAACCTGACGGTCTATGGGGCAAGTGAAGTAGAGTTCACTTGTTTCTGTGACCTCGGCGAAGAGATAGTGTGGTCAGGGTGGACTCAGGGACGGTCTACTGACTTGAACTCGGATTCGAACCGCTAGACCACTCCGTCCCACACCAAGCAAACGCCTAATAAAATGTGTATAAAAGTGCGGGATATTATTTGTACTTTATAAATTTACATGCGTTTTTAAGAAATCATGTCCTCAATTTTAGGGTCCTAGGGGCGTAATTTAATTAAGCTAATTTAGGTCTCTAATTGCTAGTTTTTATGATTGCATCTGAAATTGTTAGGCGAAAATAGCCTGCATGCCGAATTTCAGATCTCTAGAGCAATCAGAAGTGGGCTAATTTTCGATGTCAATTTTAACAACAAACAAACACGAAGCTGAGTTAATAAAAACGTGTTAATAAAACAGTTTTTTTCTAATGTTTGTTTTGTATTCATATATTAATTTTGTTTCTCATCATCTTTGGTTTTTCCTTATATAAACCTCACTTGGGTTTTTTTTAATAACGCGGGGGGTTTTTTGTCCAGGGTTTTTTTTTATCGCGGGGGTTTTTGTCCAGGGGTTCATGTCGCGGGGGGGGGGGGGGGGAGTGTCCAGGTTTTTTTTTGACAAGGTTTTTTTGACCGGTTACCAAACTCAACGCTGTGTCAAAAAGTGGACTCTGAAACGACTCTGGAAGAGCCTGATCAAATTGGTGTTTGAACAAAGAGACACCAATCACATTCCTTTTATTTAGTAGTGTGTGTAGTTAATGTGCGTTAAATACTTGTATCAGATTATAATAAAGAGTCGTTTTTGGGATATTTTTATCAACTGTAGTGTTTTTTGTGTCTTGTCTGTAAATCCGTTTTGTATGTTCGTGACTATCAGTGTTGTACATGACATTGTAGTAAAATAAACCGGGAGTGATCTCCCCTAAACTTTCTCGAATATTCTAATATAACGCTACGTGGGATGGCAACTCAGAATATAGACATGATTTTTGTTTACTTAAACTTTTAAAAACAGAATAAAATCTAGTAGAAAAAAGAATTGCGCACCAAGCGAACGCCAAAAAAAATGAGCATAATAGTGCGCAATATTACTAGTACTTTATAAATTTACATGCGTTTTTTGAGAAATCGAAAATAGCGTACATTAATACTTCCGGTCAACGGAAATTACTCAAAATTTGACAGGAGGTAGAGAATTAGATCTTTTACTTATATATGAAATTTCATCAATCTAGCTGTAACGGTACTCAAGTTATCGTGTTTACACACAGACAGACACACACACACAGACAGACACACAGATATACGGACAAGATTGCAAAATTATGTTTTTCCGTATCAGTGAGGTGTAAAACGTCGAGATTTGTGAAAATCTCTATTTTTTTTGCACGATTACAAGACTTTCTCTATACTTCGCATATACGAAAAAGTAAAAAAAAAAACACATTAAAATACCAATGACACCTGTTACGTAATATTAAGCTCAACATGAAGCAGACGAAGTAGAGTTGATCTGTTTCCTGACCAAGCCATATAAAGCGATGATGTGATGACAGAGGTTGTTAAAAGAAAAGTTTTATTCAATAAACTTGGGGGGTGGACAAACACATAACAACAGCTGACCGTAGTGTACCAGTCGATCTGAAGAAACATAATTTTAATAGCAATGGTTATAGATTTGGTTTACTCCTAACTGTATGTGCTTCTACATGTGTAACTATAGAATGTATTTCAGAAACAATTTTGTTTGGATTTAATTAAAAACTAGATTACCGTAGAACGGAAACGTTAGCCGGAAATGGACGAATGGTATGTATAGGATGATGCAAAGACCAAACAGGCCGGCCGCCAAGTAGACATACTCCAGCTTAGGGTTGATGGCCAGTGGCGAGATGAACAGGTACAGACTAATTAGCAGCATCAGGATAGGAATGACTAGTGGTACCTGGTGACATAAGGATAGGGACGGCCAGTGGTACCTGGTGACATAAGGATGATATGACCAATGTTCAAGCTGAATACATACAACCTTAACCTTCACCCACCCGTACAGTTCCTCGCACGTGTTTCATCGTCTGCAGCCTGAACCTCAGCATGGCCAGGTAAACACACACGTCAAAGAACGACAGGAGGAACCCCAGGTAGTTGATGACGGATATAACGTCAGCTCTGGACAGGCAGATGAGAGCCAAGGTCGCCTGAGTGAAGGTCACATCACAAGTTTTAACAACGTTTTACTAAATAAATCCACAGTCTTTAAATACACATGTAATTACGGAACTATGGAGGTAAAACATTTTCTACGCTTAGAGATTTCGTCCACGCAGTTTACTTGATTTTGTTACATTGTATTTCTAAAAAAAAAATGTTAAATTTTCAACAAATTGGAAACTAAATAACTAAATAACCAAATAAACTCAATTATATCGCCAGATTATTAGTATAACATAGTGTGTGATAAACTAAGGTTAAAATAAAATACAGTTCGAATTTTAATTTATTAATGAGAAGCAGGAAGTCGAGTTTCCTTACCGTTAGCATCATGGCTGTAAGTGGCGTCAGCTGATGGATCTGGATGTAGCTGAAAAATTCTGGGAAGTTTTTGTCCCTGGCAGCGGTGTAAATCAACCTGGGAAAACAGATAAATGTTCATTTGAATACTAAAATTTAAATTATTATTATAAATCAACAACAGAAGTAGAATAAAAACACGAGCAACAACAAGAATAAAACGACCGTGTGAAAGTACTAATACCATTGCCATTTGCATTTTTGGAAATCTCTCAGAAGAATGATGAACACCTAACCTGTTGCCGCAAAAAATCCTGTTGTTAGCTGTCCCCATAGTTGCCACCATCACAGCAAGGGGAATAATTATTGCAGCAGGGCCGAGAACTCGATCACCGAAAACCTACAAAAGCAGAATTTTAGTAGAAGCTAAAAACAAACAAAGCAAAACATGACAAGAAATAAAATGTGAGGAATTATAAATAGAATGAAAGTACCACAGCCACTGCCTGAGCATTTAACATTTCATCTTTGGTCATGACGGCCAGATAGGAGACGTTGGTCAGTGTGTAGACCACGATGACCACAAGGATGCCCAATATGGCGGCCCTGGGGACGTTCCTGAAACAAATGTTGGGTTGGGGTTAAGATTGTTAATTAGATGCTTAGTTATCGTTAATTAATTAATCTTTGCCTGGAGTGCAAGGTTGTATTTTGTATCATCTCAGTTTGTTTTAGAATTTCGGTAAGGAGATATTTTTTAATTTATTCAGTATCGAATCAGGTTTAAATCTAGTACTAATGTTATGCTTAGGGCAGAGATATACGTGCCCCTAAAGACAAAGAACATTCGCCTTAAGGCTAACGTTTAACTGACATGACCAGGAAAGCTCTATAGAAATGTGTGATGTTCGTTACCTGGATGGGTTCTTGACCTCCTCCACCAGCATGTTCAGATTTTCTCTGTAGGAGAAAATGTTAGCATGGTATAGCAGATACACATTTTTTTTAAAACGTTGCAAGATTCACCTTACATTATTTTGTATATTATACAAAAAATATTTTTTTTTACAGATAATAGAGACTCGATGTTGATTTATTTTTCTTTCAACTTAAAACTACATTTAATTTAAATTCAGCATTTCAATATACTACTCAATTAGTTTGTTATATCTAATAAAAAATCTTATAAAACATGCCAGTAGCCATAACTAATCCTAAATTTGAGAAGACCTGCTATTTTTAAAATAATATCTCAATTGTTGTTGTATACTCTATAGTAAGCAAGAGCCCGATTGTTACAGCAAGTTTAAAGCTTTATTAAACATTCTATTTATTATACAAGATCAAAGAACTACAACTCTATGTATGTTTTATATAAATAGTATAGAAATTAATACAGGCATACCCTCCCTTGGTCGCCCACAGTGCGCTGTACAGTGCCAAGGCTAGAGACGAGGGGTCAGTGGAGGTGTCAGAGAAGGCGGTGTCCAGCTCACTTGTGGTGCCTGTTGGGTCAGTGGATATAAAAAATGAAACATTGGTTGGAAAATCTTGGTAACTATGACAACGGGGGCCGAAATATTCTATCATAATTTGGGGTACTTAGCTAAAAACTTAATAGGCAAACTAATTTACTATGAAGTTTCAAATTGTGGATCGGTTAAAAACACTAGTTTTAATGCCCCAAATTTCCCCAATATTCCCCAAATTTTGAAAATTCACAATAAATTAGTTTAAAGATATGCGCTCTCTAGTAATAGAACAAGTTTTTTTAGCGGCTCAAATCTCACCATTAGAACTCTAGGAAAAATAGGTCCAGGTCTCTACAAATTTGTCTTTGGCTATAAATTTTACGCGAATACAAGCGTATGGATTTAAAGTACCCTCATCATCCGTTGAAACTTTGTGGTGTCGTAGATGACACACGAAAAATTAGAGGTCGATACGGTTAAAGCGTTAAGTGATAAAAATCATCCGAACTATTAAAATCGAATATTTACTGGGCTTCTTCTCGAAACAAACGCATGAAGATTAACTCAATCCACTAGGAAATTTTTTTTGTCAAAAAACAAACAAACAAACAAAAAAAAACCCCAACATTAGGGGCTTAAAATTGACCACAATTCGTAAATAGTAATCCAGTGACATCCAAAAATAGAGTGGCCGTTGGGGAAAATTTCACAATCCAAAAAGGGGGGTAAATCTTTACTCCCTGCCATGGTAATTCTTACCCTGACACATGACCACGATGCCCCCAACAATGATGATGAGAAGTGTCACAAGTTTACAGGCCGTCGTCACCACAGTCATGTGGGCAGCCAGCCAGGAGCTGTAGCCGTTGATTAGGACCAGAAGGACTGGAGATAAAGGAGATTCGATACACAAGTATCGATACTCAACAACATCGAGAAATAAGTATAGATATACAATAGCATCGCTAACAAGTATCGATACACAGGAACATGGATAACAAGTATCGATACACTGGAGTGTCGATGCAGAAGTATCGATACACAACATCATCGATAAATAAGTATAGATACAGGACAGCATCAATACACAAGTATCGATACACAGGAATATGGATAACAAGTATCGATATACAGTAGAATCGATACACAAATATTGATTCTATGAAGCATCGAAATACAAGTATCGATATAAAAAGCATCAATACTCATAGCTCATTACACATCGATACTGAAATTTCCCAAATAACAATTCTACATTTGTCCAAAATTTTGGTTATTGTGGATAAACGTTTTAAAATTGTTTAAGATATATCAATAAAAAATGTTACAACTAATGGAAAAATCACATAGGCTGGTGATAATAACCCGCGGTAAGTCAGAAGTTGAATATATTAGGGTAAGGCGGACAATTATTTTTTTTGTTGTTTTGATATCATATTGCATATGTTTAGCTTTCACCCAGCTCGTTCATTTAAAATATATAAACGTAAAATATGTCTGATATAAGGATAATTTTATTGGTTATATTTTGATGACAGTCCTTTGGTATAGCGATCAAATTAATATTAATTAAATGTTCCTAAAGATATTTGGAGACCCAGAAGATGTGTAATCTGAGCCCCTACCCCTCACACTCTATTAAAATTATGCCACAGGGGCAGGTAAAAAACTCACCTAACGCTAGGGCTGTGATGAGTTTCTCCAGGTTCTCAGGTGAGCCGCAGGTGGGGAGGAGGGTGATCAGGTACTTGGAGAAGGTGAGGAGCATGACGACCAGTGTTGCAGGCACCCGGATGCAGATCATCTGCAGAGAAAATGTTTACACGTAGAAAACATTAGGCCAACGTATCTTCAATGTGAGAAACAATTTAAGGGAAATATCAAGCGCCAAGAATAGTAAAATGGGATGTAATCTACACAACATTCACTAATTACGACAAAAAAAATGTACGTATTTAATTTTAATAATATTTTCGACAATAAATTAATTAAAATAAAACATCTATAAAAACAACACAAAGCATAAAAAAACACAATCAAGAAAACAGCAAACAGAGTATAATTAACAAAAAACAACTTGTTTTAACGAAGATAGTTTAGCCTAAAACTTAAATTATGTAATAAGCAACAATTATATTATTGAATTGGTATCAATCGAAAATGTGCAACTTGAAATGTTATCATTTTAAATATTTTAAGTTTGGTTAAATAGTGATGTAATATGGTACAATTTCTTACTCATCCAAACAAATTTGTTTAAAATAAAATAAAATAAATATTGTATCAATATAAGTTATGTTTTGTTAAATTAGTAAGATATTTACGAAGAAAGCGTAGCAGAATGCCAGGGGATTCCCTAATCCCATGCGGATATAAGTGTAGACGCCCCCCGATTTGCTGATGGTGGAGCCGAGTTCAGCGTAGCACAGTGCACCTGGTGGGATGACACAGGTAAAACATCAACACAACAACAACACAACATCAACACAACATCATCACAACATCAACACAACATCAACACAACAACAACAACAACACAACATCAACACAACATCAACACAACATCAACACAACAACAACACAACAACAACACAACAACAACAACACAACAACAACACAACATCAACACAACATCAACACAACATCAACATCAACACAACATCAACACAACATCAACACAACATCAACACAACATCAACACAACATCAACACAACATCAACACAACATCAACACAACATCAACACAACAACAACACAACAACAACACAACAATAACACAACATCAACACAACATCAACACAACATTAACATCAACACAACATCAACACAACATCAACACAACATCAACACAACAACAACACAACAACACAACAACAACACAACATTAACACAACATCAACACAAAATCAACATAACATCAACACAACATCAACACAACATCAACACAACATTAACACAACATCAACACAACATCAACACAACATCAACACAACATCAACACAACATTAACACAACATTAACACAACATCAACACAACATCAACACAACATTAACACAACGTCAACACAACATCAACACAACATCAAGACAATATCAACACAACATCAACACAAATACAAAGATGTCTTTTAAAAATTCATTCACTTGATTTCACCTGTGATATATTATTTTCAATTATTACATTGTTTAAAAAGTATTTTAATTTATAACGGAGGGGAGATAACTTACTTCCAAGGGAAATAATTCCAGCCAAGACCCAGACAACCAAACATAGGCCAACAGACCCGGAGGCCGCCAGCACGCCTTTTGGTGAGATAAAGATACCGGAACCTGGGTAGAGAGTAAAACAACATTAACACAAAGCAACACATGTTTGTTAGAAGGTCAAGATAATTTCAATAAGTGTTTGTTAGTAGGTCGAGAAAAAAACAACAATGCGTCTTTGTTACTAGGTCTGGGGTAAAATACTTCCTCTTCATTCGCCAAATTCTTATATATTGCCTCACGTTTTTACAAGATCAAGTAATGTATTTGGGTGCATCATAAAACATACTATAATTCGGACAATGCTCTTTAAACCTCTCACATAAACAAGGGCTACATTCATAATGGCCTGCTACGTTATCGAAAAACCGAGGCATTAAACATTTCTCTTTAAAGCGTTTCAGAACTTTCATCTTTCATTTTACCCATATAGTTTTTAAATAATTCGTAATACAAAACATCACATGTAAACAAATCGATATTTACAACCTTTTAATACCTTACTTAACCGATATTTGATTCTAATGTAGCCGATCTCGAGGTTTTTGTTAGAGATATGTGTGTCGATATGTTACAGTTGTTAGCAAAATGTAGAAACAGTCTTGCGGTATCTGTTACCAGCCATAAGCCAGCAGTTTAAAATCAATCTTCGATCAGATCTGATCACGTGACCTACCGATGATGGAGCCCACCACGATGGACGCAGCGACCACCAGACCCATCTGTCGTTTCAGTTCCACCTTCTCTACCCCCACCTCAGTGCTTGATTTCCTCCTCTAAAATACAATAATATTAACAAAGAATTCTAAAAATAAATACACTAAAGTAATTGTTTAAATATAATAATTCAAAAGAATAATTTAGTAAAATGTGTAAAACTTACTTGACTAAATGCAAAACAACCAAAACAAGAATACAATTTTGGAGAAGTTTTCGCAATTTTTTTTACAATAATATATGATCTAAAACAACTTGACAATTTTTGTAAGCTTACATATTATTTTTACTTTACATTTTCGTCAAGACCTTTCCCTTTGTTTCATTATTATGTTATGAAAAATGGATTTGTATAGAAATCGTATTTTTGTTTTCATTTGTTAACATCTCTTTAACATGTACGGTTATTACCGAATCAAGCTATTCCTGATTAATTTAACTAGACAGTCTGCAGCAGGGTGAAGAATCGAACATTTCTCTCACCCATGTTTCTGGCCGCTAGACCCGTGGGTTTCCATCAGGCTACTTCACCCCTCAGTCCATTGCTTCCACGGGTTGAACATGAGGGTCAGTTAGGTCAGGGGACGACCTATAGTCTGGAGACCCGGATTCGAACTGTTGACTTACAAGCTTAGTATCTAATGCTAGGCCACTCCATTCCAAAAACAGTTAGTAGATTTAAACGTTATTAAAACGTGGCATTTCCTATTCGTATTACATTTTCGACTTAAGTTTAAATGCCCACATTGATTTGTATATGAATTTGACCCTTTTTTTGGTTTCATCATTTGTCTATTCAGTTTGTTTTGACTTTTATTAACAAGTATCAATATTTAGACGTTATCAAACATTTCTTCCGGACTTGCAACTAATAGAACCTAGTGATAAAAATCCTGGTAAATTACGATTAAAAAACAACAACTAGACTTCAACCACCACCGAGTAAATATTGAACCAACTTACATGTTTTGTGCCCATTCTGTGCCGTCGTGTCGTAGATCTGTCCCACAATGTCTGTGGTGTAATGTGGAAAAGGTATTTGCAGGTAGTAGGGTGGGGCGTACCAGGTTTTAATGACAGATGGAGATAATCCGTGTCAGATTAGTGGGGGGGGGGGGGGAAGGGCAGATGGGATAATGAGAAGGGGTTAGGGTAAGGTCATAGCACCTCCATCACGATTATAAACGATAATAAATTGAACATTTCTACAACATTTTTAAATCTACCCACAAAATGTACGTTGTAAAAATGCGCATTTTAAAATTATATATTTATGTATATATATATATATATATATATATATATATATATATATATATATATATATATATATATATATATATATATATATATATATATATATATATATATATATATATATATATATATACACACACACACACACATATATATATATATATATACACACATATATATATATATATGTATATATATATATATATATATATATATATATATATATATATATATATATATATTATATATGTATATATATATATATATATATATATATATATATATATATATATATATATATATGTTTATAAATAAACCAGCAGTATTAATACGCATACACTTGTACAATGTATGCGGAGGACAACTGCTGTCATCGTTTGTGTTCAGACGTTTTTGAGACAAAAGAGAATATTAGCTAAAAAAAATTAACCCTTTTTAAGAACCATTTTTGGGAAGTATATCAATATTACTATAGTCAAAGTTAAACTATAAACTTAATGTTGATATCTAGCGACCCTCTACCAATTATATAGACACGGTGTATAGTATTTGGTAACTGGCAGCACTAAAAAATATTAAATATGAAAAAAAAGCAATATTTTAGATCAATTTTAGTAATCTGAAGCTGTAAGCACATTGGCTACATATCTATTTGCGTGTAGGCTATTGTAAAAATTCGATAACCCACAATTTATTGCGATCAGAGGTTCTTATGCACCGATGAACCTAAACTACTAATTAAATTAATTTTGCTTTTGTACTAGAAGTCATTAGCTTTATAATTAGTTAAGTAATTCTCAGACGTCAACGAGGTTACATTTTTTTCTATTATCGCCAGAAAGAGAGAACGAGAACAGACTAAAAACTAAATAGCGGCGTATTCTACGCCACAGGTCGGCTCGTATACTATATTTTGCAACAGATCTCTTTTCGAGGATGTGAAAAACCTCCCGATCGGAGGTTCTTATTACAAGGATGAACATAAAGTGCTAATTAAATTAATTTTGCTTTTGTACTTTCTAGAAGTCATTTGTAGCTTTAGAATTAATTCAATAATTTTCATTTTTTTTCTATTATCGCCAGAAATAGAGAAAGATAACAGACTAACCACAGTCTTTGTAAGGTCCATGGTTTACTTTGAGCTAAGGTATAATTTATAATTATTACAAATTTGTTTAATCCCGGGATGCACCGGTCCATGTTTAAAAGCGAATTCACTCATATGCACATTTGTCGGTATATAGTTGATGCTTTTGGCTTGTCTATAGGTTTAGCCCATCTTACAGTAAAAAAAATAAAAGCTATAGTATTTTTGGGATAATTGCACAGAAATGAAATAAATTTATGTCGAGTGTTGTAAAAACATTTTTTTTCTCTAAGTAGCTCATAAACCTGATAAATTATTGCACGCATTGTATTGACATTGGCTGAGGATTACAAGGATACCCACTGTCGATGACGTGCATAGATTGGTGATGAAATAATCCTTATGAAAAGCCTGATATTTACCTTCAGATAGTAATATGGTAATTGTTGTCTAAATGCAACATCTGGAAGTCTTTGTAAAAAAGTGCAGTGAGTTTCGAGGTTTCGATAGAAGTTGCGTTGTTAAAATAAATAAATGAAGTTAATCCTATAATCCAGATACACATACAAATAAAAGCATTGAACATACGCATACAACTACGAAAATATAAACAATGATACACAAACGTTTACACATACATTTCAACATACGCACAGTTATAAATAATATTCATACAAATAGACGTAGACATTAACATAAATTTAAACATATAGAGACAGATATAGATAAAAATAGAAACCAGACACGGACGTAGATATCGACAGAATCACACGCATACGTTAATTATCGAGCTCGTATTGTTTTAAAACAAAGCCTATTTGTCTGTATTTAAAATAATGTGCCGCTAAAAAAGTCTCTTTCACTCGATTAGCCAGTGTGTTGCGTATTCAAAGTGGATCTAACTGGCTTGGACAATTGCATTTTCATCGCCCCTTTACATCGCCCTTTACATTTCTAAGATTATTACCGGAAATTCTTTTCACCCTATCACACCACAGCTCAGCTACAAGTAGTGCCCGGCTCTAGCGTTTAGTTGTTTGATGCTAATTTTTTTAATGAGCGTTGGTAAGTAGATAGTTAAATTAACGGTAACTACTGTGCTTGACTAATTTCATATTTTATTAAAAAAATATTACCTTTCTTTTCGTCAAACAGAACCTCTCTCTCTCTGTCTCTGTCTCTCTCTCTCTCTTTCTCTCTCACACACACAGTGGTACAGCGCTATACTGAAAACTTGAAAATCTCGAGTTCGAATCCCGATTCACGTTGGTAAAATGTTCCTAAGTCAAACCAGCTCTGATGTATACATTTGAGGCATCTCTCCGGGGGGGGGGGGGGGCACGCTGCTCCCGTCCGATTGAGCACGACACCGACATAACCCCCAGACGAAATAGAAACATTTAAAAAAATTATATAAAACATATATATTAACAACTGTTAGCTACCTGTCAAAACATTTTCAACATCTCAAATCCACCCCCTCCCCCCCCCCAAAGTTTCCCTCCCAGGAGAAAATATCTAAAGAAACTTTGGATATCGACAGGCGACCATGACCTTTGATGAGACCAGCATGGTGCCAGACCACGTATATGACGATGGGTGTGAGCTGCAGGCATTAAAAGGCGTTAGTCAACCGGTAGACGGCACGAGAAAAAAGACAGGTGGGTTTAGAATGATCGGGAGGTTTGAAAAATATCGTGGCTATAGAGAATCTTTATATCTGAATTTTTTTCAACTTTGCTTAGTTAAACGTAAAGAAAAAAGTCTATATTCATTAAGAATTATTTGTATCGAAGACCATTCGTTTGAAGGTAGTGTGTAAGTTGGGTGTTCTTGGTTTATCCACTGTTCGTATCGAAGCGATAGACAGTTAAATAGTATTTTTTTAAAATTACATTTAAAGAAAACATTTATTTTGTCCTTTTTAGTGCATAATTATATTAAAGCTTGTTATTAAAATCTTTTTATGCATATATTTAAACAGGATGGTTTGCTTCGACTTTTCTGTTGGTGAATGTTACGTTAGGAGTTGGACTTTTGAATTTCCCTAGAGCCTATCACGAAGCTGGTGGAGTGTTGGTGGCATTCGTTGTTCAGTCAGTGAGTAGATCGTGTTACGGCACTACAACATAGTTTTAAAACACCACTACAACATAGTTTTAAAACACCACTACAACATAGTTTTAAAACACCACTACAACATAGTTTTAAAACACCACTACAACATAGTTTTAAAACACCACTACAACATAGTTTTAAAACACCACTACAACATAGTTTTAAAACACCACTACAACATAGTTTTAAAACACCACTACAACATAGTTTTAAAACACCACTTCAACATAGCTGTAAAAAACCACTACAACATACTTGTAAAACAACACTTCAACTTAGCTATAAAACACCACTCCAACATACTTGTAAAACACCACTTCTACATAGTTGCAAAACACCACTACACTGTTTCAGTGAACGCGTGTGGAAATTAAAACAGCCGTTACTTTTTAAAATATTAAATAAAAAACTACAACACAAGAAATGTTTTATATATCAATAATTTAGAGTTGCAAACCTTCTATTTATTTATTATCTACCTCTAAGTCTGTAAAATGTCTTTAGGTTGCCCAGTGTTATACCCGTTCACTCTTTGATGTTTATTTTGAACTAACTTTTGTTTACGTTGGTGAAATCACAATGATACAATTACACATGAAGTTTTATATTCATTGAAAAAAAAACATTTTTAGATTTATTTTTCATATTTATGTAAATATAGAGTCTATCTTTATTTAGAAAATACAAAAAATATTTACAATCATGTTATTTACGTCTAGGTTTTCTTAGTTCTCGTGGTGTTTGGTTTGTTCATCATCATCTACTGTTCTGACATCAAGGGAAGTAACACCTACCAAGACGTGGTTCTCTCCCTGTGTGGCCCTAAAGCCCAGCTGGCTTGTGCTGTCTGTATTTTAGTGACCTGTTTTGGTTCGTGTACCACAGGTCTTATTGTAATATATGATCAATGGGAGCTATGTGAGTTTACGTATTTACATTATATTTTGTTCTATGGTTTTAATCCTTGATTCATTACAGCTGATATGCTTTACGGTACCGAGAAGAACCCCGATCTTTTTTTACTAACATCAACTAAAACGAGTTTTTTTTGGATTCAATTTGACTACATAGTGCATGTAAAAAAAAATAAAGCTGAAACAAGTTCAGAAATTTTATTTAGAAATTTTCATGTAATAAAACTCAGTAAAAGAAATTAAACTTTGATTGTGATTGGCTTTTTCATTGACCATATTTATGTTTTCAATTTTTAATGTTTTAATTCAAAAGTTTTCCGGTAAATATTTCATTACATTTATGTTTGTAAAAGACATGTGCTGGGTTAACCGTGTTTGTTTATAATTTTCTTGTGTAACGAGGAAAAAAACCATATATTTAAAAACATTGTTTAGGTATTATAAACATCTTTAGGAAATCAGGACAATTCACTTCACGATCACTTTTTTATGATCGTACATAAACAATAACAATGGATGCGACAACAACTTTAAAAAATTAAGTCTTATCGGGTAATTCCCGGTGAATGTCATTGTAGATACCATCAATCCATGGTTTTTACACCATATTTTGGTGAAATTATAACAGGCATGAAGATTACCTGCACATTTTTATTTTCAGTTTTCCTCAATGTAGCTCCCGACCTCTACTGTACTACACATCCCTTCTACATGACAAGAGCTTTCATCACATCCGCTACATCCGTAGTTTTTATACTTCCGTTATGCTTTACCAAGAGAATCGATTTCTTAAAACACTCTAGGTGAGTAAAGAAAAGGACTTGACTATTTTGTTAGTTATCTTATTTAACTTGAGGACTGTTTAACTAAACAGCAGAGTTTCTTCCAGGCATCTCTTCGGGGGGGGGGGGGGGGGGCCAAGCCCCCCCCGAAATTTTTTTACCGCCCCCCCGAACGAAATGAAATTTATATAATTTATATAGAAAATATATACTTTTAACAGTGTCCGCCCCCCCCCCCCCCGAAGAAAGTCTACCGCCCCCCCCCCCCGAAAATTTCAAGTGCCCCCCCCCCCCCCGGAGAAAAAAGTCTGGAAGAAACACTGCTAAACAGTGTACAGATATCCGGTATGTCATATATGCACAGCTTAAGGTATTTATGCCGTGTATTGCTATTTGAACACACATAATTTCTGCCAGTAGTAATACCACTATACTATCTTAGCTATTTAAATGGATTTAATAAACCCCCCAGAAACGCAAGTTTTAATGAAATAGACCACGTCCTATTACTTTTAATCTCTAAAAAGACTGACTAAAGGTTCGCTTATAATACATACGCTTAAAATGATACCTAATTATTGCAGTTTATTAAATATTTAAAAAAAGTACTTTTGTTGTTTTGAAAGTAAGAGTTGTTAAATTTTTTGAATTTTCTGTCCGTTTAGCTGTGTTGGTGTGATTGGGTGCTTGTATATAGCAGTACTTGTAGCAGTAAAGTATTTTCTACCTCATGATAATCAGGGGACTATTGCCACAGGGTATGTTTGTTTAATTAAAAATAATTATTTTTCCCCAAACTTCAGGTTTTATAATGAGAGAAACGAGAAATTAATATCTTACGAAGTTCAAATTTAATTTAAAAAAAAGATACGAGTTTAAATGTCATACTTTTGATTCTCTTTGAAAACAGTTAAAATAAATTTATTTTTTTATTGTCAAATATTTATTTTAGTTACAACAAATTCTATTCGAATTGTTTCTATAAATTGGTCACCCATATATGACGTCACACATTATCAGGGGGAGCAGAATGTGTGTCTCACACTTTCTGGTTATAACATTTAATTTTTTTACGTCCCCTTTAAAGCTTTGTTTCTATCAATTGCAATAAAAATAAACCGGGAGTGATCTCCCCTAAACTTTCTCGAATATTCTTATATAACTCGATTTTTAATTACTTAAATTAAAAAAAATAAAATAGGATCTCGTAGAAAAAAGAATTGCGCACCAAGCGAGCGCCAAAACAAAATGTGCATAATATTATTAGTACTCTATAAATTTAATTGCGTTTTTTGAGAAATCGGAAATAGCGTAAATTAGAATTTCCGTTCAACGGAAATTACTAAAAATTTGAAACAAGGTAGAGAATTAGATCTTTTACTTACTTGTGAAATTTCATTTATCTATCTGAAATAGTACTCAAGTTTTAGGCTTTTGAAAAATTCAAAGTAGAAAAAGTACCACTTCCGGTTATCGGAAATCGCTCAAAAGTTGATACGGATCTACGATTTTGATAAAATACTTATATATGAAATTTCATCAAACTAGCTGTAACGATACTCAAGTTTTCGTGTTTACACACAGACAGACAGACACACAGACACACAGACATACGGACAAGATTGCAAAATTATGTTTTTTCCGTATCAGTGAGGTGTAAAACGTCGAGATTTGTAAAAATCTCGATTTTTTTTGCACGATTACAAGACTTTCTCTATATCTCGTATATACGAGAAAGTAAAAATGGATCATTTAGCTGCAGTTCGTTAACAATTTTAGACATAAAATCCCATTTCGAAAAGAACAATTAGGGAGAGGCTAATAAGCTGAAATCTTTTAGGTGCGTCTGACTTGAAGCGATGTGTGACGATGGGGAGAGATAAAAATCGGTTTAAAAAGTTAAGACGTTTAATTACGTCTTATTCTACCTAAAAGTACTTTGAGTTTCTATAGTTCCAATTTTTTTTTCCTAACATTCAGGCCACATTCATGGGTCGATATTTTCCTAGTTGTACCAAACATTGGTTTCGCTTATGCCGTAAGTCTGTCGTTTTGTTGTGCATTAACAATGGATCTTATATCACAAACATACATTAATTTATACATATATTTTAGAAAAAACAAGTAAAATGCTTCTCACATAATCATGGTTTAGCCTGAAAGTATGTTAAAATTTAAGAAATGTATTGACTTTTTTCTTTATAGTTGTAATCAGGAATGTAAAACAGATCAAATTTTAGTGTATATTAAACATGTATTGTTATATATATATATATATATATATATATATATATATATATATATATATATATATATAAATTAGATGGTACATTTATAAATTCAAATTGATCACGTTTAATTAAAGTGTCAAGTTAGCATAATCCCTATCTACTCCTGTATGACCAAGCGTAACATGAGAGAGTTCACTAAAACAGTAACGCTTGCCATGATATTGTGTGTAATCACCTACACCGTTACTGCAACTCTGGGCTATCTTCAGGTTTGTGGCATTTATATAATTCTCATTGGTTTGAATTGTCATCATTCGAATACACACCTTCGGAGTAGACGCAGTAGAGGGAGGTGTGGGGAGGTGCACTGAGGTGGTGGGAACTAATGTAGGGGAAGGAAGTTCACATAATTTCTATTCTTATCAACTGTATGATCAAGGATAATTCAGTAATTAAACTTTATTTATAATATTCTACAGTTTGGCGACGTTGTCACCGCTGACATACTGCTGTCGTTTAACCCTACAGCTGATGTGATGGTGGCTGTAGTTCTTGTGGCTGTGAAGACATACACCACCTACCCTATTATTTGCTTCTGTGGAAAGTAAGACTCAAATAATATTTAAAAAAAACAAAAACACAATGACCATTATTGAGGCTTTACACCGGTACACAGTAATCTCATAAGTAATCCTAGCCTTCGGTTGTGAAAGGGGGGGGGGATATGCTAAGGTGGTAGGTAACTGAATTATGTCGGGGGGGGGGGCAGGAATATGTTAAAGTGGTAGGAAACTTAATTATATCCGTGGTGGGGGGGGGGGGGGGGGAAGCGGGGTGCAGACATATTTTGATATTATAAATATATTTTTTGTGAGGAGCTAGGCCTCTCTCATCATCAACCCAAAGCTACGCGAAATTATACTGTAAAAATATTAAAGAACAGAAAATTTGATATTAAATATGACACATACAAGAGATGTGGTTACCTTACATAGGCTTACATTTGCCTCAAATTTTATTTCTAAATTTGCCTCTATCGAATGTTACAAAATATCGTACCCGATTTAAAAACAATCATACTTTTCATGCTCTGTTACATGCTGGGAAGTATCGTATAGACAGACACTCAACGTTTTTTTCAGGGCAGCGTTTGAAACGTTGTGGGGAATGTTCTGGAAAATGAGTCCAGAAGAAATTTTACACAAAGAAAAGACGAGACGTGTCATAACTACATTGGTGTGGTTCACCTTGACCCTGCTACTGTCCATCTTCATCCCTAATATAGGCGTGGCCATTCAAATCATTGGGGCAAACACTGCGCTGTTAATATTTGTATTTCCAGGTTAGTTGTTCTTTGGTGTATTCGAATATTCTGTTATACAATATTTTATTCCAAAAATTAACTCACTTTACTCTAGGTTTATTCTAGCCTCACACCCAGTATTGTATTAGATTTACGTGCAAAACAGCGTACGTTTGGAGCTCATAGAATTCTTAAATCAAGAAACAATCCTGTTCTAGTGGATGTAAGATTGATATCTTATTCGTTAATCTACTCTACTATGTTCATTTTGTTTACTTTCACTATAGTATAATACTAAAAATGATTTCAAGATATGGGTTTAATTTAATTTTATTGTTCTCTATTGCCAGGGTTAAGTTTGATGAAGACAATGCAAAATAGAATTGAGTCAGGAGAGAGACAGCCAAGTAAAGTTTATTTGTTAAGGTGGACGGCCATCTTCTTTTTTGTTATTGGTGTGTTTATTTTTGGACTGACCTTATCGCAATCCATATTGCAAGACATTCGTGGAGTCAAGCCAGACTCGTCCAAATTTACATGTAGCTAGTTGTTTGATTAATGTTTGGTACCACACAACGTTGCATGAAAGAATAGTTGTATTCAAGGTATTTTTTTTTGGCAGAGAACTTTTTTTTTACAAATTTTTATTTAACTTGCTTATTCTGTCGTGCTTTTGTCTCATGGATCGAAACTGCCGAGGAAAATGTCAATCACTTCTAACTGACCGATTTGTTTCAGACTTAACACGTTGGTCAAGACCCGATGACAATGCAATTTGACAGCAAATTTGACTTAATTTGATCATTAATTGGATTAATTAATTTCGTATGAATTAATTACAAATTCCAATATAAAGTACTATTTACCACGATATTATACGTGCATTTTTCATTTTCATTTGGTGTGAAAAAGATTTTAGTCGCGCAACTCTAATGTATTATTTTAAAGTATTATATTTAAAGAAAATCATTTATTTACTTCTTTTTAGTGCACAATTTAACACAATTTTGTTATTAAAACATTTTTAATGCATTTTTTTTAGATTAACTAATTTTTCCAATTTTCGCCATGAAAGCTCGAGCAATGCTGGGTATATGCTGATTACTAAACACACAAGTCATGGTACTTTACAGATAGGTTTTTTCACAGAGGCCAGTGCAGGCCTGGCCGGGACGGCTAGTATATATATATATATATATATATATATATATATATATATATATATATATATATATATATATATATATACTTTTTATTAGTTTGTTTGGTGTTGAAAAAATAATTATATAATTAGCATCTATTGATAAAGTGCAATGTGATAGGTAAAACTTAATTCTTAATTTTAATCAATAAAAGTTTAGACGCTACTCCTAAATGTCCTCCATGTTCACTTCTAACTTTCCGTTTGCTGACAAGCTAGGGGTATTATACTCATTCACTAAATTGAATCAGGCGCGTCCACCGGCACCCCGGCGGGGTGCGATTTGGTGCCCAGGGCTGACCTTTGAGCACTATGGTGCACATGTTTGTTTTAAACAGTGCGATAGACTTTGAATAAAAGGGACAGTATTGTCCTTCACTAAATCGAATCCGGGCGTCCTCTGGCGCCCTGAAATTGAGCTATTTGGCGCCCTGGGCCTTCCCGTGAGCGCTATGGCACCTCCGTTTGGTTTAGTGAGTTCAATAAACTATGAATAAGATAGGGTATTATAATCGTTTACATTTATTTTACATTGGTGTTTGTGTTTACTTGTGTGTTTTTGTTTGCGTTTATGTTTGTGTATGCATTTATTTAGAGTTTGCTTTTGTGTTTTCGTTTGTGTTTGCGTTTGTGTTTATGTTTGCGTTTGCGTTATTTTTGCGTTTGCCATTTGGTTTTGGTTGATTGTGGTTAGTGTTAAGTTTAAAGTTAGAGTAGGGTTTAGAGTTATGGGTTTTTTGTCAAAGGTCCATACCGGGTAGATGCTATATAATAAACATACAAGTCATGGTACTTTACAGAAATGTTTTACAAGGAAGACAGTGCAGGGCTAGGCCGGGACTATCTACACGAATCATAAATAGGCTTGTATCATTTAGTCCATAGTAAAACCATTATACAATAATACAGTTAAACGAAGATAAGATTGGGACTTAAATAAACAGTAGCAGAGGGCAGTTTTAGGTTTAAAATCTTTATTCAATAAACTTGGGTGGTGGACATACACGTAACAACAACTGACCGTATGTGACCAGTCGATCTGGAATAGAAAATATTGTTTAATATATGTAGCCAGGATAGCAAATGTGTTGTAATAATTCAGTGGCTAACTAGGCTTTTTTAAAAATGGCTCAATTTACGTAAATTTAAAATGTGACAGACAAAAGATCCAAGAAAAATTAATGGATGAAATTTTTTGTAATGAAAATAGATCTATACACACACGACTTACCGTAGAACGGAAACGTTAACCGGAAATGTACAAATGGTATGTATAGGGCCGCCCCAACGCCCAGCCCGCCCGCCGCCAAGTAGACGTACTCCAGCTTGGGGTTGATGGCCAGTGGCGAGATGAACAGGTACAGGTTGGTCAGTAGCATTAGGATAGGGATGACTAGTGGTACCTGGTGACATAAGGATAGGGATGACATAAGGATAGGGATGACATAAGGATAGGGATGACCTAAGGATAGGGATGACCAAAGGTACCTGGTGACATAAGGATGTAGTTCTATGGGGCTGGTTTCTCTTTAGAATAAACTATATAATGTCTAGTTTTTTATAATTTTATTTAAGTCTAAATCTTTAACTTAGTTATCATAAATTGCGTTTATAAATTATTGTTACGTAATTATAAAATTGGAATAATCGGATATTTAACGTATTTCAAAAATATCTCTCTAGTTTTTGTTGCTCGATCTCCAACTAGCTCACAAGTTCTGATTCGCGTAGCTCATCTCAGAAGACGGCGTGGCCTAAGTGGCAGAGCGCTAGGATTCTAACCCGTATGTCTCGAGTTCGACTCCGCATCCTTGTCAGAAAAACATCACTGATGGGTAACTAACTCATTTTAGGGAAAGAAAAGGCGGCTTGGCAAAATGCTGACCACGATTCCTGTGCCGTGGTCTAGATAGCCTGCACGGCTGACTCGGAACAGTAACTCGAGACTTTGCTATAGGGCTGGTAAGTAAGCCACCAACCAGTTCTATGGCTCATGCAGTTTATTGAGCCGTAGAAATGGTTGGTGACTTACTTACCAGCCCTATTATAAGTCCTGCGCTCTCCCAAACCAACTGGAAGTCCTGAACAGGGAGACAGACCTCATTATATACCAGCTAACAAAACACGAGTTACATCCCTTTCTTAATAAGGATGCAATTCATGTTGGTCGAAACTTTAGCTAAAGTTGAGGCAATTTTATTCATTCTCACTCACCCGTACAGTTCCCCGCACGTGTTTCATCGTCTGCAGTCTGAATCTCAGCATCGCCAGGAACACGCACGATTCAAAGAACGCGAACAGGAACCCCAGGTAGTTGATGAGAGAGCCAACGTCTGATGGAGCCAGGAAGATCAGAGCTAGGACCGCCTAAAAGAGAGCAACATCAAAAATAAATTAGATTCGACAATTTATTTTAAATTTATTTAAGACGGTGATAATAAAAAATCGTAGTCTAATGATGTAAAAACAATAAAAACTCTGAAAGTGGCTGGTATAGAGGCAGCCATAAGCCATAAAGCCATTGAGCTTAGCTTACAAAAGTGAAGTTATTTAGGTAATGGTAGACATTTCATTTACTGGTTTCGAAGATTGCAAAAGTGTTAGCTTAAAGAAATATCTACAATAGGAGCTGAATGCCCCATCACCCCCACCCTAACTATCTGCACACATAAGGTAAACTTTAGACGAGCGTAGAGTCGAGTTTCCTTACCGTCAGCGTCATGGCCGAGAGTGGCGTCAGCTGATGGATCTGGATGTAGCTGAAAAATTCTGGGAAGTTTTTGTCCCGGGCAGCAGCGTAAATCAATCTGAAAAAAAAACCAACAGACAATATGAGCTCCATCCATGCTGTAGTTGAATGTGTTTTCATTTTTCTATATACAGAGGAAAAGAACGAATAGTTTGAGATGAAGATTAGTGAACTGATTAAATTGTTTTTTTTACATTTTCTTGCTTTGAGTAAAATTGGTGATAACATTAAATGCTGTGCTTAATTTATTATACCATAAGCAACTCTATTAAAGAATACCAATAGATTAAAGCCAATCATATTGGACTTGAAACAAGAAAAGTAAACAGAAAAAAGATGAACAACCAATATTGATAAGACGAAGCAACCATGAAATGAATTAACAGAAACATGAGACAAATGCTAATTTAAAAGGCACCGAACCTGTTGCCGTTGAAGATGCTGTTGTTAGATGACCCTAAACATGCAACTATTACCGCAAGGGGAATAATTATAGCAGCAGGGCCGAGAACTCGATCACCGAAAACCTACAGAAGCAGGATTTTAAATTTAAAACAATGCAAAAATTAACACGGCTAAATAAAATGTACCTACAGATTTAAAAAGGTAACTATAATTAGATTGTAGGTACCACAGCGACAGCCTCAGCATTTAACATTTCATCTTTGGTCATGACGGCCAGATAGGAGACGTTGGTCAGTGTGTAGACCACGATGACCACAAGGATGCCCAATATGGCGGCCAAAGGGATGTTTCTGGAACAGAAGAGATGTTAGAGTTAATTGGCTGATTAGATACATGTTCAGGGGATTCTGGTACTAATGAAAACCTAGATACGCATTATAGTATTATGTCATTGTTTTAGCTATGGGCTAGTGATATGATGATGGTTATAACCTGCCAGTATGATAGACAAGGTTTGTTGGCATGATTAAGCTGGGCTAGAGCTAAACCCAGTTATAACTATAGTTAGGGCTGTTATAACAGGATCATTAGACTTTATGGCTGTGGACATACACGTATTAGATTTAATGAAATGCTAGCTAACGTAAAACCCACTTGACCAGGGAGGTTCTATAGAATAGTAGGACAGTCGTTACCTTGACGGGTTCTTGACCTCCTCTACAAGAGTGTTGAGATGTTCCCTGTAGACAAAGGTAATCATGCCATATCAGACCTAATGTACATAAACATCTGAGGCAAATGTATGGGTTAATAAAGTGAAAAAATAATATTGTAGTATATTTAAATTATGGAAACAATGGTAAAAATAATTCCGCATTAAAGTACTGTAATTTATTTGAATTTTAAATTAGATATGAAATGATGGCGGACCCACCCTCCACTGGTCGCCCATAGAGCGCTGTACAGTGCCATGGCCAAAGACGAGGGTTCCGTGGAGGTTCCAGAGAAGGCTGTGCCCAGCTCACTCGTGGTGCCTGTTGGGTCAGTGAAAGTAGTGTCAGTTGAGGGACTTGCACAGAGGATGTTAATAATAAAGGAAATACCTTGACACAAGTAACTCAACTGAGCATAATTTAAACACATGGACACCTGGCCCTACCTTGAGACATGACTACGACGCCACCAACAATGATGATCAGAAGTGTCGCCACTTTACACACCGTCGTCAGCACAGTCACGTGGGTAGCTAGTCTCGTGCTGTAGCCGTTTATTAGGACCAGTGTTACTATTGAGACAAAATCAATGTTACTATGGAAACAGGATTAGCGATAATATGAATACATATTCAGCGTCACTATATATATATATATATATATATATATATATATATATATATATATATATATATATATATATATATATATATATATATATTCTGCGTTGTTATGAATATAAAGACTAACCCAAAGCCGCGGCAGCGACGAATTTCTCCAGGTACTCAGGTGTGCCACAGGTGGGGAGGAGCGTGACCAGGTACTTGGAGAAGGTGAGCAACATGACGACCAGAGCACCAGGGATTCTGATGCATATCGCCTGCGTACGATAGTTTGGTTACCAAATAACATAACCAAATTTAAAAAAGATACTTTTATATATAAAGTGACTTCAGTAATATAAAAATTATCGATCTGAAGAGAGTAGAGTAAAATAATTGGAAGCACATTAACAGGGGTAAAGGTCATCTACTTTTTTTTCTAAAATAAAAAAAAAATCATTATACATATCAGACTATTGATATTTGCAATGTTTAAAATAAACTTCTTTAGCTTTAAATGCATGTTATGTAAATTCGGAAATATGTTTTATCAGAAAAGTAATCACATTTATTGCATAGACAAACGCCACTTGATTCCCCAAGCCCATACGAAGGTAAGTGTAAGCACCGCCAGATTTGCCAATCATAGAGCCGAGTTCAGCGTAGCACAGTGCGCCTTGAAATAATTATTGAAAAAAAAGAGAGATTACTGAACGCTAAAATGTTATACAATTTTTTCATCATTTGTAGTAGCTCTACTTTAACAACAATATAAAGAATTGTTTAAAAATAATTGTATGGGTTCCAATAAAGACTGGATACAGCTTACTGCCAAGGGAGATGATTCCAGCCACCACCCAGACGACCAAACACAGACCCACAGAGCCTGACGCTGACAGCACGCCTTTAGGTGAGATAAAGATACCAGAACCTGGGTGTGGAGAAGAGTTGAGACATTAACAAAAATAATGAGTTATGATACAGTGTCAATAAAACAATCATAAACCACCCTTCTCAGTCTTTATCGTCAAACATTCTAGAATCACATTCTCCGTGATGTCATTGTTATGCCAGACTAAAAAATAATTAATGTGTGACGTTCAAACTCCAAGTAAAAAATTAAGAAGTTTCCTTCCATTCTAGTCTGCCTTTTCACATAGTTCCTGCGCTGTTTATTGTTAGAAGTTTTCGCCAGTTTCGATTCCCTTGGCCTCTACAATGATTCAAGTGCTGTTTGTTTTACGAAATTCAAAAATGTATCATAAACTGAAATATTTATAATATGTTATAACACGTTATTAATAATCATGTTTTTAAACTAATTTTGTTTTCTTTTGTGAAAAAATAAATCTAAAACCATGGTTTCTTTTAAACAAATTGCTCAATATAGGAGGGGGGGGGGGGGTGAACCCCCCCCCTCCGTTCTTAGATGTCTGAAAGAAACATCTGTCGTAGCAGCTATTTATTAAATGAGTTGTAACCGATACCACCATGTTGTTGTAACACGTCCTCCGTGGGGATGTGGTGTGATGTCACCCACTGAGATGTAATGTTTTTAAGGGCTGACCCTGAGAGATAACATGAGGCTTTTGCTGATAGATCCTGGCTTTAGTGCATATACGGCCCACATATCAGCCTGTTGTAAGCGATGTCAAACAGCAGTTTAAAATCTTCGAACGGTTTTTGATCACGTGACCTACCTATGATGGAGCCCATCACGATGGACGCAGCGACCACCAGACCCATCTGTCGTTTTAGTTCCACCTTCTCTACCTCCACCTCAGTGCTTGACTTCCTCCTCTAAAATGTCATAAAATTACTCGACTGAACATGTCTAAAAACATACAACTTAAGAAAGCAAAAACTTAATGCTTGTACTTTGTTTAAATAAACCGGGAGTGATCTCCCCTAAACTTTCTCGAATATTCTTATTCTACGTGAGATGGCAACTCGGGATATAGACATGATTTTTAATTACTTAAACTTTTAAAATAGAATAGAATCTCGTAGAAAAAAGAATTGCGCACCAAGCGAACGCCAAACAAAATGTGCGTAATAGTGCGGAATATTATTAGTACTTTAAAAATTTATATGCGTTTTTTTGATAAATCAGAAATAGCTTAAATTATTACTTCCGGTCAACGGAAATTACTTAAAATTTGATAGAAGGCAGATAATTACCATCGGTGCAGTTGAAATCTGTTTCAGCCTGCTTTTCTTTTTGGATTTGCTTTCATAGCCTTTGTCCAACCAAGAACAAACTACAAGGCAGCAGTTGTTTGATTTTGGAGTTGTCTCTCTTAGATGAGTGGCTGTCCCCAACTATCAAAGCCTCATCTGCCAGGAGGTTCGAACTCGGGAGTTTTCACTTGAGAAACTTTGAGCTTAACTGTCACACCGACCTCCCATCTATATTCTGGTTTCATTCGCTATTTTCCGTATTAGTTTATGCTTACACTCCCATGATTGGTTTTTTTTCAAATAAAGTAAAACAATTTTAATAAATTAGCAGCAATAATCAGTTGGTTATGTTAAACAGACTTACATTTTCCGAGTCCATTGTGTGTTGTGTTTGGTACAGTAGTGTTGTAATAATGTGCTGTACTGGGTCTGTGGTGCTGAGTGTAATACTTGTTGACAGATAGAGGGTGGAGGACTGCGGCTTATCTGCGTTGATGGGGACAAGTTTGTTTGGCTTGGATTTGAAGTAGGGAACAATACTCTTGACTCGACACATGCAAGGGTTACACGTTTTTGTTCCAGGTGGCGCTGGCTGGGGGTTTCCGGTCAAAACGAACTGATGAGTCATTCTTGAGTTAGTGTATTTCAGCCTGAGTAGTAAATACTCTGTGGTGCTTCCAATAACTTCGGTAAAAAGTTATAGGCCTTTGAAAAATATTTTAAACTATTGACTTTTCTCTAGAAACGGGAATTCCCGTTAAACTGACGAGTCACATGGTGTTTGGTGTTAGTTTAAACAAAAGACCCTTCTATTGACCCCCATGTTGAATTATTTGTTTGACGAATTAGATTAAATGCTCTGTTGATAATTTGAAATAAAAATAGCTCAATAAGATATCAGTGAAACTAGAGGTTTATGATTGACCAACAACTAACAAGCATTGCGACCTATAAAAGTAAAAATAAAATATAGAAACGCTTAATTCACTTATCTCAAGTAAAAGTAGGGTTGTCTCAAACCGTTTTCAATGAGGACATTAAAAGGCTATGCTAAGTTTATTTCTATTTTTTACAAAGCCTTTTGAATACGTTTACCATGTTTGATTAATAAAAGTTAATATTAAACATCAAGAAAAAGGGCTGAAAACAATTTTGGTACTTTTAAAATTGATAAGGCTTCTTTTTGTATGCACTTATAGCAATTAAATTTGAACTGCCTATATTTCAGTATATATTAAAACTTTGTCCCAACAACTTTTTGAAATAGCTATAGGTCGGAATTTTACAAGGTCTAAAACATCGCACCCTTTTTAGAATTCAGAAGTTTCAAAATTTGCATATTATTTACCATATACTTTTTTCTATGAAATTCATCAAAATTCCCTCGTGACAAAAGTTTTTTTTTTGCAAGACAAACAATAATATAACTGAAAATATGGTGGGCACTGTTTAATAAAAAAAAAAGTAGTCTTTTTTAGCGTTTAAAAACTGCGAACTGAGAAAAACTGCAAAAAGTAACGAAAAGTAGGTCACGAAAATACCATATCTGTGTAATTTGTAAAGCCGGTTGTAAGTTTGGGTGTTTCCGAGATGATGGAAAATACAGTTATCAAATACATAAGAAATCCAGCTTTCCAATGATGCGATATACAATATGATGGCGGACATAACATTTTTCTTAAGCTTGTAAGATTGGGAAAAATGATTTTTTTTCAATTAATATAGTCATAAAAATCGTATTTTAAGCACATACATTTTTATCTCATTTAAGTTATTGTTTTCTTAATACAAAAATGGACAAAGTATCAAAAAAATGTCAAAAACCCATTATGACGAAAAATAGGAATTTGGTGATTTTTTACTTAGCATATCCCCTTAAATAAAATGTAGTTACATTGGGAGAGCTTTAAGCTTTCCCTGTATCATATTACTGTCTCCTACAGTGCAAGCACAGGCACTTAGAGTAAAACAACTTTATATACACATGGATAACCTGTGATGACGCTAGAATAAGTCAAGTAGAAGAAGTTAATAGAAACAGGCTATAGCTAGTTGGTTAGAGAGACCAATGAAAGTAAATGAGCTGACCGGTCACGTGGGACGGTCAGCTGACCACTGAAGCGTGGGTCTCAGTTAGGACAGGGAGTTAGATAGCGAAGAGAACGTTCAGAGTTAGGTAGAGAATTGGAGGTAGATAGTGTGGTAGAGACGGTCGGAGATATGTAGAGCTAGGGAACAGTTAGATAGAAGTAGTAGTAGTGCAATGTAGATTAGTTAGGTAGGAAGTTGATTAGGTAAATTTTAATAAAGAACATTATATTTTGACTTGAACGTGTGTGTTGGATTCTCATCATCTTCATCATCCCCACCCTCACAACTGGAGGAAGATCATTTAATTCCCCCCCCCCCCCCCCCACCACATCCTCACAATAGCCTACTTTTGACGGAAATAAAAGCAACAACATGTAACTCAGCACAGAAGTTAACTTTAATACATCATATGTATGGGAATATCATATTTCATTATCTAATTACAAAACCTGTTGTCCGGCTATTTTCTGCAAGCATTAACTGACCATACTTCCATACTAGTTCTAATATGTTCTAATATTTTAATAGAACTAGTCTTACCCGTCATCCCTTGGATAACTGTGGGTTTCGGGGGTAATCCGTAAATGACATCACGTCTGTCACTAATCGTCACAAAAAACCAGACCCACACATTCAAAATTACGTTTTTTTATCTTTTAAAAACACAGATTTCGGCTGAGCATGGGTCTGATCACACTATCCCTTCATATACTGACGTCAAAGTAGACCTACTCAACTCTACTTCACCTGCCCAGTGACCCGCCAAGTCTCAGACAACATGTTTTTATCGTTTAAAAAACAATTCCGTCCGAGCATGTCTCTGACCACACTATCCCTTCATATGCTGAGGACAAAGAAAGAGGTGAACTCTACTTGACGTGCCCTGTGTCCCTCGAGGTCCTGATAGTCAACTGCATCATTCACGTTTAAAAAAACAAAAATTGAAAAAAAATATTGAAAGTCTAGTGACCTAAATGTAGATCTAGATCTAGAATCTAGATTCATAACTTTTTCTTCCTTCGACAGCTGATCTGTAGATCTAGAGAAATGTATTAGTATTGTATAATAAAATAAAAAGAACTTTTAAACATTGATAATAGTGTTGAAACGTAATAAAAACAGCAAACGTACATATTGTTAAAGGTATAGCCAACAGAAAATTAGCTTTAGAACGCGTTAAACATTGGAATGGGAATACACTCTTCGATGGAGGCCGCAATTTTTGATGTAAAAAGTAAACAAACCATGTGACGTCACTATTCACTCTAAGTAAAGCCATCTTTCTAAACTTTTATAATTAATGTGGTTTATCTACCAATGAAGAAATCAATAAATTAATTAACGTCTTTAAATAAATTTGTGATTAACAGCCTGTCTGAAAACAAAAATTGTTCTCTTCCTACACACTATTTTACTGCTCTACACATAGTGCAGATTCTCTCCAGTAGCCAATCAGACAAACAAATAAATATTCAAACATGTAAACAAAGTTGAGTTTTAGTAGTATTTAGATAGATGGTTAGACTTACTAATAAAATTGACATAACAGTTGCAGACACTGGATATATATATATATATATATATATATATATATATATATATATATATATATATATATATATATATATATATATATATATATATATATAAGAAAATTGAATTTTCGTTGATGACAAATGATACCCAATGATGGTCTTGGTTTAACCATTTTCTAGCGTTACTTAGTTACGCGGAAATGCCCGCAGCTCGTAGCGCTTGGGATGCAGGACAACACCTAATTCGTAAGTTCTGGGGTCAAGGTCAGGAAGCTGTGCTAGGTTGTCAGCAGACGGCAGGAACTTGAAGTTCTGGACCAGGGCGGAGGCGAACAGGAAGAGCCTGTTTTTGGCCAGCGCCTCCCCCAGACACACGCGGCGTCCTCCCCCAAAGACCATCAGCCTGGGAGTTAGAAGATTGATGTACATGCTAGTATTAAACTCGGACTTTACAGTTTTAAGTAAAAATGAAAAGAAGTAGAGTTTACACACAACTGAATAAATGTAACTTTATTTTAATTCTTGAACATAAAACTAAAAAGAAGTATAAATGTTACAAAGTCCAATAATTAACAGAAACCACGAGTAAAAAAAAAAAACAACAACAACAAAAAAAAACAACAACAACAAAAACAAACAACAAAACTATATTACAATGTTTTTTTTCCGTTTGTAATTTAGACTTACTTCCTCCTCATGGGGTCTGTGATGGGCAGCAACTGACCCTCCTTGTCCAGAAACCTCTCAGGTCTGAACCTCCACGGCTCCTCCCACTCCTGGGGGTCGTGATGGACGGCCCACAGGTTGATGTACACCTGTGGACGAGGCGACAAAAGTGTACGCCTGTTGGTGCCATAAATAGGCCAAGATTAAAATAAAAATGCTGTTAGTTTGATTATTTTCTGTCGATTATTTTCCATTTTCTAGATGAAATTTCACTGTTCACTCTATTGTTCTGGAATATTGGAAAACTACATTTCATACTGGCAACTTTAAAGTTAGAAAGGTTGCAGCAATAAAAATATATATTGCAAAAGATTTTAAATTAATTTTACTTAAATGATTTATAAATTGATTGTTATAGTTCATCCTTTATATCATTATTTCGAAGTTGTTCGAAAAATATAATCGCGTAATTAATTGTTGGATTTGAAAAAGAATACTGTGTATAAAGCAGTTCTAAGGTAAACATTAAACTAAAACTTACTACTCGGGTTGAATTGTAAAAATTGACATTCGGGAATACGCCAGGGTAGGCGTCTAAATTCAGTATATTTTTTTCAATTAGAGAAGGGTTTATGTGTTTTAGAAAATCTAGCCCAAATGTTTCGAAGATCGGTTGTAATGATTAGTTTTTTTATTAATCTAATATTAATGTTCTTTATAAAATAGTCTTTCTGTGATAGTACGCAGATACAAACCTTCTTTTTCTTCATTTGTTTTGGACCGACATTAATTTCCATTTCCATTTTTACTAATTTTGATTTTAATTTTGAAATAAAACTATGTTGTATATATTATTGTATAGATAATTTTCTTTAGTCTGTTAACTCATGTTGACGGTTATGATATTTTATAACACCTTTCTGCTCCCTTCTTTACTTTATCCTCTGAACATATTTCAGGTATGACAAGCCATAACCAAGTTGACGTTAAATTAAACTTACGGTCATATCTTTCGGAACGGAAATCCCCAAAACCGACGTTTCGCATGTAGTGTAGTGCGGCACTGCCAGCGGTACGTGTGAGATGTACCTCAGCAACTCTAGTAGGATGGCTTGCGAGTATGGCATGTTTTTTCTGTCTGCCAATGTGGCAAGTCTGTTCTCGCCGATCTGATGCTTGACCTCCGTCCACATCTTCTCCTGGACTTCCGGGTGATGGAGGAACACCAACAGCAGGCAGGTTAGTGTAGTGACAGTGGTGTCTGTACCTATAAAACATCCAATTAGTGGTGTTAAGTCAGTTAATTACTGCATATTAGATGTGCGATTTTTGTCAATATACAATTTGGCGCCCAGAGTTCCAGGGCGGCTATGTTAGCACTTGGTATCCGCTAATCGTGCGTCCTGATTAGCGGGTAAGGGGTACTACTATATTGAACGTTAAAATTTAAACAGGCGCAACCGCCGGCGCCCCGTAAATTGAACGACCATAGTGCTCGCAGGGGAATCCCTGCGAGCACTGTGGCGCCTCTGTGGTAGTGTAATCTGGGGGTCACGATAGCACCCCTCTACGTCAATGACACATACACTCAAGGTTTTCATGCGGTAGTGTAAGTAAACCCGTGTCCCGATATTTATGACCCAATCGCAAGCATTGTTTACATTTCAATAACCCAGTTTTAGAAAACAAGGTCACGTGTCTAAGAACATAGGATTGGTAACGCATTCATGAAACCTTTTTTATATATTTCGTCAGACTTTCTTCTATCCCCGCGACAACACGCGGGGACGGGTACGCTAGTAATGAAATATCCAGGCCTGATCATATTACATATCTTAAATTTTGCATTGTCTCTGAATTAACTGGAAACAGACTAATTTAATAGGCCTATGTAAAATAATTTTAACACTTATATTTTCTACTCAAAAGAATAAACTACATAGTATTATAATTAATAATTAATTAGTCATACCCAGTTGACTTAAAGCAGACATTAATAACTTTAATTATTTGAATTATGTGTATGTGTGGCTGTGAACACGATAACTTGAGTGCCGTTACTGCTAGGTTGATGAAATTTCATGTATAAGTATTATATTAAATTTGTAGTTCTGTATCAACTTTTCAGCGATTTTCGATAACCGGGAGTGGGACTTATTCTACTTATAGTTTTTCAAAAGCCTATAACTTGAGTAGTATTTCAGATAGATGAATGAAATTTTACATATAAGTACAAGATCTAATATTCTGGCTTTTTTCAAATTTTGAGCAATTTCCGTTGACCGAAAGTAGTAATTTACGCAATTTCAGGTTTCTCGAAAAAAAAAAACCGAATTTTTTTTATAAAGTACTAATAATATTCCGCACTATTATACACATATTGTTTGCCATTCACTTGGTGCGCAATTCTTTTTTTCTACGAAATTCTATTTTATTTTAAAAAGTTTAAGGAATTTAAAATTGATTAAAAATCATGTCTTTATCCCGCGGTGCCATCCTCCGTAGTGTTATATAAAAATATTCGAGAAAGTTTAGAGGAGGTCACTCCCGGTTTATTATATATGTAATGGTACATTGGAGACTAGTCCTGCTTGGGTAGATTGCAATACCAACAGATAACGAAAATGATATAATATGTTGTCCTATATTTGTTGAGCTTTTGAAATTGGAAATAGATTTAATTTTAATTTACCGGCAAGGATCAGGTTTGTGAAAACTTCCTTAGCCGTGGCTTCACAGACGTCGTAACCCTTGTACTTGGGGTCAGGGATCAAGGCCAGTAACCTTTGAACTATGCAGTCAGCGTCACCGCGGTCCTACAAATAAAAAGTGAGTATCAACGTTTGGTGTACTCTACGACTTTTAGCGGAACTTTCCGGATGATTCTTACAGAAATTGACCGTTTGACCTCAGCTAAAACTGGGTTAGGTACCGAAGTCAGTATCCGAAAATCAAAATAGGCGAAAAAATGATGTACTTTTCAATATTTACATTTTTTAAGAAGAGTTTGGTTATTTTTTCTCATTTATAGAAAAGTCTACATCATTAACACAATGATAGGTCTAATTATAAATTAATTTAGTTGGATAAAAGATGGAGATGTGTTTTAAACACATGAATAAACGTGTACATTACATAGTAGTTTAACATAAATATTCGCTCAAAAAAATTAAACATACTACAAATAAGTTTATAAGCTTGGTCTACAATTGTGTTTACAATTGCGTTATAGGATTAGAAAAAAAACAACATGACGGTTAAAAAATACAACGTAACTTGACCTTCACCTTGAGTAGCGCGAGCTCCTTCTTCCAGAACTGGTCCCTAAGACTGAGTGCCGTCTGCAGACGGTCCGAATAGGCGTGGAGGTTGAGCTTGCTGAGGAAGGGCAGGAAGTCCATCCCCCGGGCCTTGCCCGTCCCAAAAGTGTCGTTAAACAGGCCGTTGATGTCTTTGATCATCTGGAAACTGTGGCTGGCGTGGTCAAACGTGGTGTCCAGGGTCTGGGAAATCGGGTGAGAGAGACAGGTGATTTTTATTTAGCTGTTTCTTAATTATTAGTTATTTCTTAATTCAATATTTCGCCGCTTGTGGGCTTGTGATTTGGTTTGTGTGTGTATCGGTTTGTGCGTGTGTGTATCGGTTGTGTGTGTATCGGTTTGTGTGTGTATCGGTTTGTGTGTGTGTGTGTGTATCGGTTGGTGTGTGTATCGGTTTGTGTGTGTATCGGTTTGTGTGTGTGTATCGGTTTGTGTGTGTGTATCGGTTTGTGTGTGTATCGGTTTGTGTGTGTATCGGTTTGTGTGTATCGGTTTGTGTTTATCGGTTTGTGTGTATGTATCGGTTTGTGTGTGTATCGGTTTGTGTATGTGTGTGTATCGGTTTGTGTATGTGTGTGTATCGGTTTGTGTGTGTATAGGTTTGTGTGTGTATCGGTTTGTGTGTGTATCGGTTTGTGTGTGTATCGGTTTGTGTGTGTATCAGTGTGTGTGTGTGTGTATCGGTTTGTGTGTGTGTCGGTTTATGTGTGTGTATCGGTTTGTGTGTGTATCAGTTTGTGTGTGTATCGGTTTGTGTTCAAATCCTTAAAAAAACTAGCTTACCTTACAGTATATATTATCGATACAGCCTATTACAGTTCCTTATTGCATATTTTAATCTTTAAATTAATAAATTTTCATCGTAAATGCTACGCTGTTTATCTAAAGAAAGACGGAAATAATTGCCACGATAGTTATGTGTTTAAATCGTTTAGCTCACAAATTCACCCACCCACCTAATTGCTGTGTAACTTACAGGCAAGTTTCAGAGACTATTTTTTTGCAATAGCTCTTGGTTCACTCACAAACCCAGAAGAAAACAATATTTTAAAAATCTCGTTTGAAGTGACCACTAACTGTTCCCTATTAGACAATAGGTTTTTAAATATGCTGGAAACAGATCAACCATTTGTAGATATGACTCGAACTTTGAATCAAGAGAGCTCTTGTGTCTTAGACACATGGCAGGCTGTATTAGAGAACTATTTTTTCTATTAGTAGGATTATGAGTGAGTGTCACAGCCCTTTTGTATGACTGGGTTCATGACATAAACTAAAAGCAAATACCAACCACGTTACCGGTGATTTCACAATTTTATTAATACTAGATCTACATATTCAGAATGATATTCAGCAGCTACACTACTAAAAAAAACACGACTTTCAGTTTCGTCGTCTTTCTTGTTCTGCCGCCTTCTACCTCTCGCTTCCTTTCTTTTCGCGCATGCGCACACCCACACTATATTTTATATTTTATCTCGCCTTTTTAAGACACACACTCGCAACATACATTCATATACATTTGACTGTTACAGTGGTCAAAACTCGTAAAAGTATACATACGCTAAAGAGAAGGTTTGTTAAAAATTAAAATTGACGTACGATCCATCTAACTAGTTATGATATTAAACAAATCAACCAACTTACCAAACCCAACATAACATTAGAAATAGCTTCGTAGATGTGTTCCCATGGGTCACACGGCTGACCCTTATAACTGGACAGTTTGGTCAGCAGGGTTTTGATCTCTGGTGCACATCTAAACTCCAGGTTGTCCATACCGTCGCCGTACATCTTCAGCGACTTGGTCACCTCCTTCCTCAGGAACACCAGCTTGTCCGTGTACGTCTGCCAGACTATCGAGTGCTTGTCGCGGTCTTCCTTGGCCGTGCGGTACATGGGCGGGCGCCCGGCGAAGGCGCTGCCCTGAACGACGAGGGCGTCGTGTACGCTCTGGCAGCTGTTGAGCACCAGAATCTCCTCCCCGTAGATCTTGATGCGGTACACGGGGCCGAACTTCTCCGCCCAGTCGGTCAGCGCTTTGTGGCAGCGGGAGAGGTCAAGGGTCAGGGCGTTCCCAATAAAGGGGACCCTGGGCGTCACAGCTGGGATGTCTTTGTATTTGGAGTTGTTTCTCTTGCTGTGAATGATGTATGCAACCAGCAGAACAACGGTGACTACGCATGTTGCCGTTTCGACCTCCATTTTGTTTGATCCTTGAGAAATAACATTTTTAAAGGAATAGAAACAAATCGTAAAAGATAAATCTATTTTTCAGATTTTAATGAAATCTTGAACGTGTTTCTACCTAAAATAAAAATTACGTCTCTTTAACTATCTGTCAGTTATCTAAACGGTTTTAATTCGGCTAAATTTCGTACACTATTTCTTTGTTTAGAGGGTTCGGAAGCAGGCTTTGTTGATGTTTATATTTCTTTGTTTGTGTAGTATTTCATGTATTATCAACCACAGAACTAAACTTTTTATTTACCTCTGTTAATGAATAATTATAACGACCTTAACATGTGATGAAAAAAAAATTACTTTGCTTTCATTTTGACTTATCTAAAACGTCTGCTTTATGCTATCGCCATCTGGTCTAATGTTTGTAAATAACTAAACGTAGTTACACCAAAAGAAGACTTCCCATTTGTATATCTATTTAACTGTGTAAATAATAATAAAAACCCACTACAAATATTACTAACGCAACTGGCGTCTTCTCAACAAGAACTAAAATATACTATGTAGAACATGAAAATTTTGTGAGCATCTAAGTATTCTCTACTTACTGCGGCTTAAAAATCTTGTTTCTAAAAGTGAACAAAACAGTTCGCTAGTATGTCGTGAAAAAAATCTACATCATCAAGAATAGGGGAGGGAGTTGAGTAGAAGAATATGATTACAGCAAAAATAAATAAAAATAATCTCAAGCTTATAATTGATGTCATGTGCACAAGTTACGGCAGACCATGTGACTCATTAAACTTATTTATGGTTGTTGAAGGCAATCGGACTTACGATCTATTAAAGAGGAAAAATAATTGAATGCTGTTATAAAGACTCGGTGCAAGTCTTTAGCAAGAAAGCTATGGCTTTATTTAGAAACAGGTTTCTGTCTGAATATTTGGCAGGTTTGTAATAGTAAGCCCTTTCCTAATGTTTTTCCCACATTTTTTTGGGGGTTGCGGAGATTTCTCCAAATGTTCTCCGTGTATCTTTAGGCTGGCGGTTTGTGTAACAATTTCCGAGTATCTTTAGGCTGGCGGTTTGTGTAACGATTTCCGAGTATCTTTAGGCTGGCTAACAATTTCATTTTCTTTGTTGTTCTGGTAGCAGTTGGCTGAAACCTAGTACACATTTTCTGGACTATATTGTTGGCTGAAACCTAGTACACATTTTCTGGATTATATTGTTGGCTGAAACCTAGTACACATTTTCTGGACTATATTGTTAGCTGAAACCTAGTACACATTTTCTGGACTATATTGTTGGCTGAAACATAGTACACATTTTCTGGACTATATTGTTGGCTGAAACCTAGTGCACATTTTCTGGACTATATTGTTGGCTGAAACCTAGTACACATTTTCTGGACTATATTGTTGGCTGAAACCTAGTACACATTTTCTGGACTATATTTTTGGCTGAAACATAGTACACATTTTGTGGACTATATTGTTGGCTGAAACATAGTACACATTTTGTGGACTATATTGTTGGCTGAAACCTAATACACATTTTCTGAACTATATTGTTGGTTGCATATTGTCACACTATAGTGTAGCAGTGAGCGTGGGGGGATTATAGTTAGTATCAAGGCTAAGGGGTTTAAAGTTTCGACTATTTCTTAGTTTTCTAAAGTGTAGATCGGGATTATATGCTGGTTCTGTTTGATGCAAATTTGTTTAGCCGTCTATGTTAATTGGTTATTGCAGTAAATTAATGTTTCTCTAAAAAAGTATGACAGCGTGCTGACATTCACTACTGTCACGATTGTTAATGTAATCGTATTTAACGGGCTTACCCATAATACCCAGTAGTTATTGATCGTGGTGAACATATGGTAATCTTGAAGGTTTACCACAATTTCATGAGGCGATGATATGACTCGACATATTTCAGCGGCTTATCATAAAGTTGTACCTTTGTGAGTCACATGATATGCATTCCCTGCACATATCTTCGTGGAAACATAATGTATTAAGTGCATTTACCGCGTATGGTTTTACCGTAATTTTACCATGTATACAACGAGCATGTTTTTCAATGTAGAAATAAATTGCCGTGTGTTACTGTTTGAGCCAAAAAGATATTACCTAAAAACATATACTGCTACAGGAGAAACTATGCATCACTAGATTCATTGCTGCTTGGCATTGCTAAAATATTGAATTTTTGAAAACTTTGAGTTATTGGTAAAATAAAAAACAACACAAATAGTTGTTTTTTTTCAAAATATAATTTAATGCGAAAATCTAAAAAATTTGGTCATCGTTTTGTAGTTGTTTTTGCGAATTTGATATTTGAATAACACGTATAATTTACTCTCGTTTGCTTAGGCCAATACTATAAATAACTGAGTTTTCTATCTAGACTAATACAAATGTTAGCTGCAGTGAGGTTAATTCAATTAGTAATAATACAGATAGTGTTAGTTACCTCACAAGT